CACAGCTGGACAATGTCACCCATGGGGAAGGGGCAGGGGCACAGCTGGACAATGTCGTTCCGTGGGGAAGGGGCAGGGACACAGCTGGACAATGTCACCCATGGGGAAGGGGCAGCGACACAGCTGGACAATGTCGTTCCGTGGGGAAGGGGCAGAGCCAGGCCCGGGAAGGGGGCTCACCCCAGCCAGGGGAAGGGATGGGTACCGAGCTGCTGGGGCTCATTCCCCTCTGTGCCTACAGCTCAGGGAACAGGCATGGTGCTGCAGGAGGCCAAGGTTCACCTCATGGACACCGAGCTCTGCAACAGCAGCCGGTGGTACGCGGGGGCCATCCACCCCCGCAACCTGTGTGCTGGGTACCCACAGGGCGGCATCGACACCTGCCAGGTAGGAGCGTGTGATGAGTCCCTCAGCCCCCGGCAGCGCAGGGACCCCCTCATCCCCCACACGCAGCCCAGCCTGTCCCCTGTCCGCCCCTCCCCTCCCCACAGCAGCCCCCACAGTCCCTGAACCATCTCTCCCGGCACAGGGGGACAGCGGGGGTCCCCTCGTCTGCAAGGACAATGCAGCTGACTACTACTGGCTGGTGGGATTGAACAGCTGGGGAAGAGGCTGTGACAGAGCCAGGCACCCCGGGATCTACACCTCCACTCAGCACTTCTACAACTGGATCCTGCTCCAGACGGGCCTGAGCCCTGCAGAAAGAGCTGGTCCAGCACCGGAGCCACCTGTCACTTCGGCCCCCGAGAAGGAGCCTGAGGAACCAGAGGAACCAGAGGAAGAGATCAACTTGACCCCTGAGTACAACAAGAAACCAGCAGTGACATCCTCGGGCACGTCACTGCCCATGGCATTCCCACACCAGATCCTGGTGCAATTCTGGAATCTGGTGCAGGAGTTCCTGCAGTTTTAGAAGGACAAAAAAGCCTGAGCAGCAGCAGGATGAGCAGGATCCAGGGCTACAGTGGATCACGGCAGCTCCAAGGCAGCCTTGGGGCCAGAGACTTCTCTGTCCTGCCCACGCTGCTGCGCTGCAGCCACAGCGATGCTGACGTGACTGAGGTGTTGAAGTAAAGTTTCTGTGTTCGCCATTACCCGAGTGTTCAGCCCTGCTCAGTGCACCCGCAGGCTCGCAGAGTCCCTGCTCTGTCTGTCCATCTGCTGTGCTGTTCACATTCATTCTTCAGCCTGGAAAGGGCTCCAGGGAAACCTCAGTGCCCCTTGCATTGAAGCAGGTTATAATAGTGAGAGAGACCAGCTTTTTGCATGGGCAGGCCATGACAGGACAAGGAGGAATGGGTTAAATCTAGAGGAGGGGAGACTGAGATGAGGGGCTGGGAAGGAGTTTTTACTCAGGGGGTGGTGAGGCCCTGGCCCATGAAGTGTCCAAAGCCAGGTTGGACAGGGCTTGGAGCAACCTGGGATAATGGCAGGTGTCCCTGCCCATGGGAGGTGGTAGAATGAGATGACCCTTAAGGTCCCTTCCAAAACAAACCATTCTATAATGCTACAATTGCAATTTATAAAAGAAGAATATTGAAAATTTATCTTCTTCATCATCATCAAAGTTTTCAAAATCTGAAGATCCAGAGGGCAGATGATTCCATCCATCATGTCTGTATTATGACAGGGTGGATTTTCCTCTGGGTGCTCTTGTTCCTTGCCCTTCTTCATAGAAGGATCTTAGATTAAATGACTAACTGTTAACAGGCTAAGACTAACTAGGTCCATTGCCACTAGTTGCCACAATTTTACTTCATTCCTCCTGAGATCACTGTCACTTTATTTAGATTATAGATTTTCTGACTAAATTTGAATTTGAGAACCTTCCTATAACATTGTTTACTGCATAACACAGGGCTCACAGGAGAACTCTGGAATGCACAACATCATTGAATAAATTTTTAATTCCTTTAACATCCCAAGAAGGGAGAGAGGTGAAGTAAAAGAAAGACTTGTGCAACAGCTGAAAGGTTTTGCTTTACCTTATGAAACTGCTTCTCATCACTATTATCATCCTGGGCACAGAGGACTTTGGGATGAGAAAAGATATTCTTTGAGGTCTACAGTTATTTACAGTCATTACATCCACCAAAAGACCTCAGCTACCCTACTGGAGCCCATCTGCTGTTCTGCTTAAAATTTTATAATATTCCTAAGCATTCCTTAACTCCTTATGCTGTCTCATGTCCAAAATAACATTCTTTATTGGTCCCTAGGCTTTCCTTCTTCAAGACTAACTCCGTGATTTCCCACCTGGTTGTCATGCCTCTGTGACTGAATCGTCCTTGACTCCATTTCAGAACCTTGGAGCAGAGAGTAAAGCTGAATTTTCCCAGGATGCTATAAATCCAGATTCCTTTGTCATTAAGAATACCGGCCTGCAAGCATGGGCTGAAATACGTATGGATAAAAAGCAGGCAAAAGTAAGGGCCATGGCACGCTTAAAGGAATTACGGGGCGGCTGTTTTCTACCAGCAGTCACCCATCACAGTGAGGAGCACTGCCCACCCCCTCACTCCAGCTTCATGCTGCACCTACCAAGGAAAGCCTCAGACTTTGTCTGCCCATGCAGTGTTAATTGCAGCTGCCAAATACCTGGAAATTATTCCTCTGGGAATGCTATAATGATTTCTACTGTGTCTGATTCCTGTGGTCTCCATGATCTCATACAGCTATATTTTTGAATATTACGAACACATAACGTAAGAAGAATAATAAAATTAGCATTTTGCTAGTTAAACAAGGCCAAGTCATATAATTGGCTGTAAGGAATTTTCAAAATTTTAATATGAACTTGCACAAGGTAGTTAGATAATAAGGTGTACTTATGTTTATGTCATCTGTGTTATTACCTGTACACATTCATTCATTCCTTACATTTAGCTACTTTACATTAGCATCCCTTGGCAGCTTTCCCCACCAGTGCTTGCAAGAGAAAATGTTTGCAAGAGAATATTTGTGTTCTTTATGTTTGCAAGAGAAAGAGAAAGACTCTGAAAGTGCAGGAGTTGGATCACTTCTAAGAAGCACGAGACAGTTAATTCCTTGCAGAGAACTCACCTTGTTCATATCAAACGTGCGGAACATCTGCTCAATGTACTTATTGGCCTCTGGATCCAGCCCTCGAAGTCCAAAGAACTGCTTAAATTCATGCTCCGTCAGCTGCCCAGAAGGACATTCTGTCATGAATTTTTTGTACCAGTGGTGGATCTCGACAGCTTGCAGATCGTCCACGGTGGAGCTGCTGTTGTTTCCCATGTGTATCTGTGTCAGAAAGATGATGCTACAGGAATGATCCTCTTCCTCCTGTGGCTCTCACAGCACTGCCCGTTTGCTCCTGTCCATGCTCAACACCAATGTCAGTTACGTGAGGGATCTAACCTTCCACAAGCCAATTATAAACGTTAATCTTCTTAGAGGCTGATCCACAAACCAGAAAGTTTCAATGATACAAACACTCTTCTTAGAATGGAAAGGAGATGCAAGATAATCTAGCAAATCGCTGCTATTTTAGGAGTTAATGCAGAAAGGGTGAGAAGGTTAATCAGACACTGGCATTGGCAGCTATATTGGTGTGGTAGACTACCCTATTTTTAACCTTGATATAATTATACGTGAAGATAAGAGGAAATGCCCATAAGTTGTGGGCTGTGAGGTTAAGTAAAGATCTTCTCCTCTAAGTGGATTTGAGAGTCTGTTTTCTCAAATAGACGTGTTGAATAACAGAGTGTGTAGGACCAGAAAGTGTTACAGAAGTGGCCCAGTACAAGAGTGAGGTTATGTGGGAAAAAGCTCACCTCCATGCACACAAAGGAGCACAGAGGAACAATGCAGGAGGACACAAATAACCCCCTGGTCTGGCAAATCCAAGAACCATCACGGAAGTGCAGCCAACCCATAAAAGGCTCAACTGCACAAAGGGGAAGGAGTAGAGAGGCAACCACAAGCAGGGGAACACAAATTACCCAGTAAGAGAAATAAAAGCCCTGTCCCAGCTCCTCCTACATCTGTTGCAGGGGAGGCACCAGTGCTACGGGCCCAGAGGCGGCATCCACCATGATGGGTGTAGAGAGTCAGAGACAAGCGTACGAAAGAATCTCGAGCTGTACGGTTAGATAAGACACCCCCCGCCCTGCAGTCAGACTCGTACTCGGTGCCCGGCCACACCCAGCCAGACGTGAGCAGAGAGAAATGACGCTGACTACCCAAGCCATAAAAACCCTTGTGACCCCTCAATAAACGCCATTTGCTGTCTACCACATTAGTGTCAAGAGCATATAGACCGAGTAACCCTGAGCTTTGAGCCACCGTACCAAACTTAGAACCAAGTCGCCACGCCTTGAAGGCAACAGATGGGTCAGCAGGAGAGGTTGCAGAGGACTCTACAAACTGAGTACTGCCTGTACGCATGGAAAACACTGTGTGTCCAGGGCAGGAGCACCTGGGGACAAGACTCACAACAGGATGTTTAGGAGGAGAAAAGAAGGTGGGGAAAGGGATGGGTCTAGGTGGTATGGGAATGAACACGCATGAGAAAATGGAGGCAAGGGGAACAGAAGGGTCTGGTTGCATGTAGAATGGTGCTAATCTGTATGAATGTGTATCCACCCCTTGGGCCTGGTCATCACAGTCTTTCTTGTTTTCTAACACTTCTACCTCCTTTTTTCTTTTTTTGGCTGCACAGCACTGTGCTCTGGGCATATGTATGCATGGGGATTTAAGTGCCCACAACTGGATTGAGTGAGATCATGTCAGTCTATGATCACTAGTAAATATCAAGCCAGGCTAGGCAGCAAATAGGCTAAACAGTTCATGAGACAGGTGTAGGTATCTCTGTTAGCGAGACCACTGGAGTAGTTGACCATTAGATTGAGGGTGCAGGGTTGAAGGTGACCCACCTGTCTGTGTTTCTCTGCATCCTGAGCACTCCATCAGAGGAACTCAAGGGGTGCCCAGTGTCCGTGTCTGTCTGCAGGTTGTTGTGTGCAGTGGAATCTGTTCTGGTGCTGTGGCAGGGCTGTGCACCTCGCAGGGCCCGGCATGTCCAGATGCTAGCAGCTGGGGAGACCAGGCATCGAAAAACAGCTGTGGGGAGGCTGGATGTCTAAGCCCACACACTCTCTGTGCTTCCCACTGATGGACCTTCACAGAATCACAGAACAGTTTTGGTTGAAGAGTCCTTAAAAATCATCTGATTACAACCCTCACCATGGGCAGAAACACCTTCCCCCAAACCAGGTAACTGGTGGCTAAGCGCCCTTGCTTCCTGTGCTGCTTTTGATGGAGCTCAGACTGCGATTGGCTGGGAGTGCACATTGCTGGCCCACATGCAGTTTTTCACTCCCTAAGACTCCCAAGTCCTTCTCCATAGGACTGCTCCCAGTTCACTCATCACTCAGCCCGTACCCGTGTTGGGGATTGCGCCTGGCCTTGTCGAACTTCACGAGGCTGGCATGGGTCCTCCTCTCTGGCCTGTCCAGATCCTTCTGGATGCCTTAACCCCTTTCCTATAGAATATCAGTCACACCACTTAACATACACATTTAAAGCCAAAACTTATTTTTAATATTATAGAAATTTTAACAGTCTGATTTGGGAGTCATAATAAATCTACATCTAATTACAGAAAAGCAAAGAAAAATAATGTAGGTCAAGTACTTATATACAAGAAAAAAGCTGCACTAGTAGCAATAATCCAATTAAAATAGCAACACATGCACTTTGTTTCTGTGCCTTCTCCGATGTTACACTGATCTGCCTGCTGCTTCTCTGGGTATTAAGATCTGTGGTTCACTTGGATCTTTGCAGAGGAGGAGGAGAGAGTCACAGGAAGTTGTCAGCATCTGGATCCTACACTGGGAGAAACGTGATGTTCTCGTGAATGGTTTTAATGATTTTCTCATCCTCCTTTCTTTTTTCTTTTTTTTTTTCTCTCTTCTCTTTCCTTCCACTTAGACTTACAAAGGTACATGTTATAGTTCAAATATCTCATTCTCCCTAAAATAACCGCTTGCTGTTACTACCAATATAAGCCCATGGTTGAACCACACAAAGGTAGGTAAGTTAAATAAATTAGCCATAGATACCTGGA